ATGAGGAGCTAAGTTTGTAGTCTCTAAACTTTACAATGGAATGTGACTTCCTGCTTATTGTGACGCAAAATGACGATTTTTACATCCCAATAAGCAGGAAGTAAAACACTTAAATCCTTATTTTTCCCCATCTCAGGGGAAAATAAGTGAATAAACCATGACCATTCAAAAATATGACTGGGTTTCTAAAGATACAAAGCTTAATGCAAATAGGTGAAGTGTCCCTTTAATGAGTAATGGGTGTGTTTTTGGTCATTAAGCTTGTACACACTGGACAAAGATGAGAAGATCTAGCTCTACCTTTAATTTCCCCAAGCTGATTATTCACTAAAAACCCCGAAGTCATTATGTTTTCAGGCTATTTCTTACAACTTAATTTTGGATAAATGCTTTATTTTACAAATCGTTATATTAAAGCTATAATATACGATGTTAAAAATCGGTCGAGAAAGCCTGAGACGGTAGGGAAGTTTTGAAAAACTCATCCCGCCCCTCCACACACACACCCCTCCCCTCTGTGCTACCTGATCCCTGACCAATGTCACTTTTGAGTTCACGTCAATGCAAGATTAGATTCCGGCCGGACAGCTTACATTGGTCAACTTCTCTGCGGCTGTACAGCCAATAGAGTGAATGGATTTTTTTCATTCTTTTTTCTATTCATACACAGCAAATTTCAGGAGTTGAAAAATCATGAGTTAGGCAAAAAAGTGTGAAAGAGTTCATTTTTTGGAGTTATTTTTTTAACTCTGACTACAGTTTGTGTTATTGGATACTCCCCGGCTGTGTTGTATTTTGGAGTTCATTCATTGGTGTTCAGGAGCGTGTTTTAACACTACACCTGGAGTTATTTTTGAGAAGTGCGCCACGACACGACACTGCCGCTGCACAAAGGAATAATGGACTTACGCTTCATCGTGAGGTAGGTAAAAGTGTAACTTATATAAAACTATTTAAAAAATATATTTTCTGACAAACACGTTTGGTCATCGCGTAGCTGTTACGTTACAGGCTAGTTTGTTTACTAATTAACGTCAACGACCATGACAAACTTGCTGTTGAACGCATGTTTAAATGACTTGTTTCAAATTTTGAAATGGCTATTTGCGTGGGTTTTTTGTCGATGTAAACGAGTTAACATTAGCTAACCGTCTTTCCATTCACCGTGTTTCTGAAAATGAGTGTTTTGCCGTGAAATTGATGCATCAATGCATTACAGGCAATTGAATTGTAACAGCTATGTAACGTTAGGCTATATTAGTGGTGACCCACGATGTGCGTGATTTTGAGCTTATATATTTTTGCATTCTCAATGAATGGTGCTAGATTATATTATGCCTCATGCTGTTGTTTTTGTGATCTTCAGACGACTGTCCTGCAGCAAGCGGTTGAAGGTTACTCCTCCTCAAGTCTGAACCAAATGGATTTGCTCAAATAAAGGCAGTAAATCAAGAGTATGGTGTCCAGTGTAGTAATTTCCACACAAAACATTATATTGTGTTAAATAAATGTTAACTCTAAGAAGTGTTAAACAAACTGGTAACACTGGTAATGAGTTCATATAATTAATTTTAGAGTTACATTTACTCTCTGTAGGATTAGTATTTTAACTCCATTTTAACTGAAAAAAGTGCCTGAAAAAAAGAAGCCTGAAAAAAGTGTTAAAAATTCAACTCCAAGAGCAGAGTTATTTTAACTCTGCGCTGGAGTCTAATTGATGGTCTCACATGTACACTCAGATTGAGTTGATTTTAACTAACAGGGAGTTTATTCCAAAAAACAGAATTTGCTGTGTATTGTTAGGATTGTACTATATAACCATAACCAGCATCTAAATGAGGATATTAATATTGAACAATCTTTGAAATCGTATACCATAGCTTTAACTGTATTAACGCAATACAGTGAATGACAGCCATCTGAGCTCTCCGAGTGGCTTACATTTTTGTCAGTTTAGTGTCAAGTGATTCATTTACAGCTAAACAAAATAAAACATCTATGCTCTGATGTCCGAAACATCATTTTTGTCTTACATTTCATAATAAACTCAGTCAAGCTCAGTGTCCGTTGATCCTTCCAATTGAGACGGCCTTCAGAGACGTTTGATACATGGCTGCTGAGAGCCTTTGTAGGATGCAACCTTCCATTCGAGAAACACGTCTTCATTCGGGACAATTTGAGAATGAGAACATAAACATTCGCACAAACCAATAATATCCAATCATGTCATGATGGAGATATTGCCTCCTCTCACATGATATTGCCTCCTCCATTCATTCTCAATTACCCCCCACTAAACCCACCGCAGACATGTAGGGGGTCTTATTTAAGTCAATGGGATCAGAGCCTCCCACTGTAACTTCACCTCCAGATGTCACTATTGGGCAGTGTTATTTGCTTTTTTTTACTTACATGTTTTAATGTCACATTTTGTAATATGGGTTATTTTCTCATCCTGTTATTTGAAGAGACACGCCTCTGCCAGACAGATAGAATAGCAGAAATCTTCAAATCTCCTACTCCTACAAATTTGTTTATTGCAACAGTGAACCATTGAGCAAACAACATCAACCTCTCCTAGACGCCATTCTCTCCCATGAACAGAAGACATCAGTGATGTAATCAGCTGTTAGACTTGAATCACTGGTCTGTTACCACACTGAGCTCATGGCACCCTCTCAACAAACGTTATATTATGAAGTGTACTGCTAAGAGGCTATAGAGGCTGTGGCATGAGGTGGATAAATGTATAGACATATAGATCCTGATCTTTTGTTGTTCTTGGCTCATGTGCACTGGTTAATTCATGATCATTATGTGATGGAAGTGTTGGCCTGCCTGTGCTGTGTGTAGTGTAGGCCACATATAAACGACATCCATCAGAAGTCCAGATCTACATCCAAACACGTGCCTCCGTTCATTCTCCTTCGAACTCACAGTTATACAGGGTGTTTCGCGCTGTCATGTGATTCATTTGCCTTTGATTTCTCTGCAAGATCCAATGATGCAAGGAGGCCCAGATGATAAAACACCGGTAATGCATTGCTAGGATTTATGCATCTGTTCATCTAAGCTGCACAGCGAACTTGTCAACAATGCTTAGGTTATATTGCATGTTATTAAAGTGCAAATGATCATCATTTATAAACAGTAGATGCGGATGCGACCAGAGATGCAGATGCGCCGCATTTTGACACACAAGACAGCCAGATAGCTTACAGACACTGAGCCTAAGCAATTGAATAATTATATGTCAACAGCATTATTATTTTGTCTATTACTTTGTGACCACTGTAATCAGATCATTGATAATGAAAATGAGAAGGTTTAAATGAGAAGGTTTTGAGTAAATTACCTAAACACGGGCTTCTGTCTCTCTGTCTGTGATGATGTCGCTGTTCCTCGCTTTTCTCTGTTTCTCTGTGTGTAATTCTTATTTGTTACCTTAATTAATATTATTTCGTTTTAACATTTCAATTAAATGTTTGGCTTTGAATGAAGCCCTCAATCTGCTCTGTGTGTTGTCCAGTTACCGCAAGTGTGCGATGAAGATGGACCGACCTATTCTTCAGATAGGGGCGCATAGACTGCATGGTCTTTACACAGTATAAATAACAGAATATAATTTAACCACAGTTTGGACATTTTTATTGGCTATTAAATTATATTAAATGACTGTGTATTACTACACGATTAAGGGGTATGCTTTAGCGTGTATGTTTACTGTTGAGTGACCATATTTCCCCACTGCTAAATACATGGACTTTTCCGGAGCGCACGGATTCTTAGCAACAAACCAATGTTTCCATCCGGGTTCTTATTCAGATGACTAATATCAATCATTTCCCACAGTTTAGGCTACTGTGACATTAGATTAAAAGCTAAAATGTGACTTAAAATTTACAGTAAATAAAATACGGCTAGATTTTGCTTTTTTTTTTGTATTTTTTTTTTATTCAACAACTATTGGTGTTTGATGTTTAATGTCTTTTGTCAACCTAGTCTATTAGTAATTTTGTAACATTTATGTTTGAATGATATTTCAATCTTACCAATTACTCGTGCATTTTAATAAACTGGCCAATTAATGTAGATAGCCAAAATGTTAAAAATACTAAGAAGTGTTTCATCACTTAAGTTTATTCCATCTGTTCTCCACATGATGGCGCCACGATATAACCGTTCGGACACGGCGGTGGACTATTGCTTCTCGCTTGCAAAGGTGCACACGTGTTTGTTTGTTTGTTTGTTTGTTTGTTTGTTTGTTTGTTTGTTTGTTTGTTTGTTTGTTTGTTACCATACTTACCTTAGTGGTTTTATCAGGGGAAATTTGGTTTGACTTGTGAACTTGAGTGAGTAGGCTAGCAATACAAGTCAATAATAATGTCACACTTCACATGAGTAATTCCATCAGTCAGGACTGAGTAACAATGATGAACCTGTTGATGTGATTATTTTATAGAGCACATAATGACAGCAACAACATTAGGCACATTTTTATTGAAAAGTTAAGCCACCCTTTTTCTTATCATTAATCAAATATGGTCAATAGCATATCTTGACACATCATTTCTGTAAAAAGGGATAGTTCACCAAAAAATGTAAATACTGTCATCATTTACTCACCCTCAAGTTGTTCCAAACCTGTATCATTTATTTGTTCTGCTGAACACAAAAGACGATATTTTGAAGAATATATGTGGGTGGGGGAGCCAATGAAAGTCAATGGGTCCCATTGTTTGGCTACCAACATTCTTCAAAATATATTTTGTGTTCAGCAGAAAAAAGAAATTGTATTTTCTGAGAATAAGTAAAAGATTATAGGTTAGTATTGACGAGTTATCTGTCAGTGGGAATCAATAGCCTGCATTCTCCCTGTATTGGCCTTTGGAACCTCAGAGGGTATTTTTTTTTTTTCTCCACTGTTTGGGATGTTGAGCAAAGGGCCTGATGACCGCTGTTTACTTCTTCATTAACACATATTCTAACAGGAAGTATAACTAGCTCAGTTGGTGGTAAGACAAAGACTCTATATCAATCTACTCTCAAACAGGAAATGACTATGGCTTTTCTGTGCTCCAGAGACTAGTTGAAGAGCATTTGTGGTTATCAACCAGTAAGAGAGTTTCCTTCTGTATGAACAGTGCGTGTGTGATGGCCCAGACAAAAGATCAAAACTTTGGGCAGTCGTCAGGCACTAACTCTGCCCTTCACAGACTGGACACTTTAGCTAGCCGTTTTTTTTACAAATACCGGAAAGGAAACCAGGAGAAAGGACTAGAGAATGAAGGGCCACATGTGTCAGAGTACACTGGCCTTTGGGACGCAACAAGTAAGTCTAAGCCTTTTTTAGATATATATTTAAAATTAATAAACAATCTAATGAATGTTGTTTCAATGCGCTGGAGTCCGGCTTTCTTAAACTGGCTTACTCTTTGCAAGTCTTAACACATTGCATAAAGCAGTATAACTGGTTTATTTTCTCAACCATTACAGATTGAATGATATGATGTGATGTAGGTATTTTATTGTAAATATCTGATGAGTGCAGAGTAAAATGTGTTAGCCTTAATTGTCTAAATGCATATTTCTGTACACTTTGATTGCTGTCAGACGGTTTGTGGTTTTAACAGGAAGAGAAACAAGTCTTCTCACAGCACCAAACAAACCTGAAGTTTCACTTTAAACCTGAAGTGAACAGTGGCTGTTAAAGCATGACATGTAATATTATCGTTTCTAGTTCGTAGCAGACCAGATAATTGGTTGCCCTGCACACAGCTATCACAGTTTGCTTGATTTCTGTATTTACAGACACAGGATTCTTGGTTCCAGTGAAATAACAACATAAAATGTAACCAAATACCCTGTTACATCTGACAAACAGATGCAAATCTCATGATCTGGTGGCAGGCAGCCTGCACCTCAGAAAAGATATCAATCAAAAATCCATAGGCCTATATATATTGTAATGTGTGTTAGTTGGCTTAATGAAAACATTTATAAAGTTGTCAATATCAAGGGGAGAGATTGTCATGCGAGCTCAACTCAAATACTCTGTGTAGCAGAAACCCGAAGTGAATATCCCCAAAAAAGCATTCCTTAGCTACAGTAGGTAGCACCCTTTTTCTTAATATTTGAATGGTAACACTTTTAAGGTTCATCAGTTAACATTATAATGTATAACTAACATGAACTAACCATGAGCAATACATTTGTTTTTGTATTTGTTAATCTTTTGTTAAAGTTAGTTTATAAAAATACAGCTGTTCATTGTTGGTTTTTGTTAGTTCACAATGCATTAACTAATGTTAATTAGATTTTAATAAAGTAAATGTTGAAATTAACATTAACAAAAATGATTAAATAAATGATTCCTTAATGCTAACTAATGTAATGAACTAACGTTAACTAATGAACCTTATTGTAAAGTGTTACCATTTTAATTTGTATTATGTCTAACATGGTGTTGGCAGGAAGTGCACAGACTCCACTCAGGTTTCCTGCTTTTTTTCTTTCTTTTTTTTTTCTTGCTCAAAAACATAAATGACATTTCATTTCAATATTTATTCTCTCCATCCAATCCCTTGCAAAACATTCTGGAAGCTAGAAAGACCCTGAACAGGGACAGAAGGATTTATACAGTTGCTAGAGAACCAAATTAAATGAATTAACTTGTGTGTTACAAATTGAAGTTGATTGCACAAATTAAAATTAAGTTAATAAAATGTTGAAATGTTATTCCAAACAAAGCAATTTATGGTTTATATTAAAAACAAGCAGAGAGCAATCCTTTGCCACTGATGTTAATTCTTTAATCTGTTCCGTTTAGTGAAAGAAGTCTTGACAAAAGCCAAAGAAGATTTTTTGATTAAATGGGAGAGTCAGGCACAGGTATGAGAGCTTTATTACAGTAAACATTAAAGTCACAGTCCCTTTTCTCCAGCAGAACTAATTGTTGTCCTCTGCTTTTGGATCTGCAGAACACATCATGTCTTGATGACTTTGACAGACTGAAAACTCTTGGGACTGGATCTTTTGGAAGAGTAATGCTAGTCAAGCACAGACAGTCGGGACAATACTATGCTATGAAGATTCTGGACAGGCAAAAAGTGAGTATGCATACTGTATATCCTCTTGCAGGACACAGCAATTGCTATTTGTCCTCTGTTGTAGACATTAGTTTTTGTTCATTCCGAGTCTTATTATTTAACAACAGGTCTCCTAAAGAGCACTCAGCTATTCAGAGCAAAATGTATACTATTTTGTAAATATTTATTTTTAAATTTTCCAAGAAGAGTATGGTTTTACAATGAAGACATCCATCCGATGTCCTCTGAAAAGGACATCCACTAAAAAATAAATAAATAAATAACTTTTAACTTTTAAAAATGTGTTCTACCAACAATAAAAGAATAAAATAAAAAATAAAAAAACACAATAAATTTGGTCTGTGACTGAATAAATCACTTTCAATACAGATAATTTCAAAGCAGCTTTACATTTATATGGAAATGGATGATTCAGTGATATAAACAGAATTAAATTCTGGTGTAATGCAGCTCTAAAAATTGTACTGTAAACACTTGTTATTCAGTTGAAATCAGTTTAGTGTTTATTCAGTTCAATGACTGTGTAAAGTTCATCAATTATGAAATTATTTCAATTCATCTATAAATCAGCTCTAAAGAAAATATAGTGATGTCATCATCCATCAGCTCAGTTCTCATCCAAATGGTGTCAGTGCAGTCGAATCAATAAAATTGCTGAATATTAATTGTCCCCATAAGCAAGCCAAAAGGCGACAGTGGGGATTACAGTAGCCTATATATTAGCGTTCATACCAATGAATGATAATGTTCTTTTTAGTATGATGAGCGTGTGCTACCTACCGTTATGTCTGCTGCTGTGGGGAAAAGTATGCTCCTCTGTGTCATTATCATTCAAACGGGATATGTACTTCACTATTCTAAATTGAATTAGAATAATTATTAAACTTTATAATTATAATTTATAATGATCATCATTGGTGTGTACTTTATGCTTGTGAAACCAAGTTCAATATACCTGCATTTTGCCTGCAAGCTGAGTATTAATATTGCACATTACTAATGCAAATATTACTAACCTTTCCACTAAACAATCTCAGTTTGCAGGTATTGGCACAAATTCAAAGGTTGTGTAGTTTTTTTCAATGGACCAAAAGAATCGAATCACTAAAATTGAAGAAACTTCACAAAGAAGAACAACACTAATCCCCCTAATGGTGACTTGAGACAAAACATTTTTACCAAAAATGTATTAGATTTATTATACATTAATTCTGAATAACAAATATTTACATTTGCTCAGAAGTCCCCATGCTTTAACAAGTTTTTTCAAGATTGTTATGGGTGATCAGTTATCATCAAACTGAGCATGCTCAGAAGCCTCCTTGCAAAATTTGGCATTAGTGCCGGTATCACAAACAAGGCTAGCCTAGTTCAGTTTAGTTTATTTATTCCTTAGGAAAATTAGTTTTGCACAGGTGCTACACATCACAAAACTCACATAGACTATCACGAAACAAAAGAACACATATAGTTACAGACTATTCAGCATTAAAATAGCAGTTGGTATGAATGAGTTCTTAAACCTACTAGTTTTCCCCCCAATTACTCTATATCTGCGGCCAGATGGAAGAATAACAAACTCATTATGCAATGGATGTGATGGGCAATTGATTATTGAAAAAGCTTTTTTGACAACTCGTTTTTTAAAAATGTCCTGAGGCAATATCTGTTGAACTCCAATCACTTTAGAAGCAGTCATAATCAGCTTAATCATTCTGTTCCTATTTGACAGGCTGATACATTCAAACCATACAATGTCGCGATAAGAAATTACGGATTTGATAAAACTCCTACAAAACAGTGTCATTACACAGAACATACTTTAAAAGAGTTCATTTTTCTCAAGAAAAAAACATACGCTGCTGAACCTTTTTACAAATGGCATCTGTATTGGCATTAAAATTTAATTTATTATCAATAATTGTACCCAGATATCGATATTCGTCCACAAACTCAATATCCCTTCCGTTTATGACGGTAGGAGAGACAGGGATGACCGATTTTCCAAAGTCAATAATCATGTCTTTGGTCTTCTTCATTATATTTAGATTTAGGTTACACTCTGCACACCAGGAGACAAAATCCTCCATCACTGGACCATGAGATGTCTCCTCATCTGCAAGGAGACTCACAATCACAGTATCATCTGCAAACTTTAACATATACCTATTGTCAAATATACTCCTACAATCATTAGTATACAAAATAAAAAGCAAAGGGGAAAGAACACACCCCTGAGGTGAACCAATAGAAGAACATAACTTGGTAGAGAGCAAACCATTGACTCTCACACACTGCCTGGGTTCTGTTTGATAAGAAATTTACAATCCATCCTACCAGGTGAAGATCAAGCAAGGTTAAGAAATCGGACTAGTTTCTCGGCTAACAAATGTGGCTTAATTGTGTTGAATGTAGATGAGAAATCAATAAAAGCTAGCTGTGCCCTTGTTTTTGGAGTGTCCAGATGTTGAGCTACTAAGTGTACAAGAGTAATTACGGCATCCTCAACACCCCTCCCCGCTCTGTACGCAAACTAAAGAGGATCTAAATTATCTTCAACATGCTTCAGTATCTCTATTCTCATAATTTTCTCAAATGTTTTCATCACAAGGGAGGTAAGGGCTACCAGTCTAAAATCATTTAAAACCTTTGGCCTCTTACACTTCGCCAAAGGAACAATTATGGCATGTTTCCAGATTTGTGGGACAGTTTGCGTTTTAACAGAAATGTTAAAAATCTGTGAAAATATACCACTTAACTGTGCACTACACGCTCTCAACACCTTGCCACTAATATTATCTGGTCCAGGACTTTTATTTATTTTTATCCTTTTAAAAAACCTAGCCACCGTAGGAGCATCGATACTAAATACCGTATTACTTTGCCAAGAGTCATATTTCACATTATCATCATAAAATTTGTTAAGTTCATTCGCTAAGCATACAGTACATTAGATGTATACCCATTTAAAGATAATGTAGGTCTAGTGCTTTCCTGTATGCCTGTCATTAGTTCCATTCCATCCTAAACCGCCCTTTGATCAGCATTTAAATATTTTTGTTCTATTTTTCTTTGTAATTATGTTTTGCCTTCATACAATTACTTCCTTCCCAATAGCAGAGTAAGCAACTTTATCACCACTTTTAAAAACAACACTTTTCTTTTTAAGAAGATTTTTCAATTCAGCATTAAACCAAGGCTTATTAATCACATTATCAACACAGAATGAGATGTAACTTCCCACCGCATCAGTCAACTCATTAATATTGTCCGATAATACGTGAAAAACAGACCAGTCCGTGCACTCGAAGCACCCTTGTAGGGCCGATATACCATCCTCATTACATACCTGGACTGTCCGTAATTCTATGCCTCTCCTTCGCAGCACAGACTTATATGTTGGGAACAGGTGCACCACACTGTGGTCAGAGGTGCCCAATGGGGACTCAGCAGCAGATCTATACGCTCCTCGTATGGATCCATAACATAAGTCAAGAGTCTTATTTCCACGAGTGTGACAAGTGATGTACTGATGGAAATGGCTAAGTGTTTTGTTGCAATTACTGTGGTTAAAATCACCCATCACAAGACATGGGGCATCAGGCAAGATCACCCCGTTCTCATCCTTTAATGTCATACTACGCACATGGCAAACTTTATCAGCGATGGACTGAAGTCTTTGTAACACAGAAAATAACACCTCGTTTGCCTTTTTGGAGTTAGCATTGGGGTGAATATACACAACTGACAGAAACACTTGAGGAAATTCCCTTGGCAAATAATATGGTCTCACCGAAATTGTCAATATAGCTCAATGTCAGGTAGGCAAATTTTCTCCCGTACCGTCACATTATTACACCATCTTGGGTTAATATAAAAGCATACTCCACCTCCCTGCCGCTTCCCCATCATACATGGGTCACGATCAAGATGTACTGGTACCCCGAATCCGTCAATATAATCCATGTCTGCAGCCGTCAGCCAAGTTTCGGTAAAGGCTAACACGCACGCATCTCTGAACTCCCGTGTGTAAGATACTCGTGCTTGTAGTTCATCCATCTTATTTTTCAGTGATTGGACATTAGCCAGGACATTAGCCAGGTTCCACACTAAAATGTATGTTTGAGCATGTTTGCACAAATTATGGCTATGCTACAAGCCTACTAAAACTGTGACATTTAGGTTTTGGTGTCAGTTTCGTATCTCTTATGCTGCATCCAAAATCGATGCGAAAAACAGTATGTAAGAGTAGTGTATAAGCATGTATATAGAACATATTGTTTAATGGTTGCAAAGTAAGTTCAAATTCAAATGTAGTACCTAATCTGACTGTATGTGATTTCGGATGCAGCTAGCATAGTTAATACATACATATTTCCTATGTTTTCTTTTTGTTTCATTTGTTGTCATTACTCATTGTTTGATTGATTACATCCACCTACTCCTTGTTTTGTTCATCATTACACTGTGTAAGGCACTCAGTTTTTTCAGTTCTTTGTCTTGTCAATGCTGTCACGTGTTTCTCCTGTAATCTTCGACATTGTTTCTCTTGTGGATTTTCGTCTTTATCGTTATAATAAAGTGCTAGCCTGGCTAACGCCAGACCACGTGTCATTGAGAATGAGACGTGGTCTGGAAAACAACTGTTCATTTTCTCGTATTTGAGGCGTGGTTTACGAATGCCCAGAGGCGTATTATTAGGTGCTACGAATGTCTATCAAATGCGCCTGTACATAGCTCATAGCCAATCCGTTCAATGATACCAGATGATGTATGTAGAGTGAAAATTAGACGAGGAAAAAGACGGTGGGTCAGAGATTTAGGAGATTTATGTGTACACAAAGGCTGAATCAAAAGGTAACTTCGCATCTGCTGCCAAGATGGATCCATAGATATAAACAAACTGCTTCATTGTGTCGCATGTACGTCGTCATCGTCTTGCTGCTCCCTCCCCGTTCTGAGATGGGTTCCCTATTTTATCCCTAAATTGGGTTCATGGT